ACCGACAGAACTAACTGCACAACACAGAGTGAACCTTAATGTAAATTATGGATTTTTGTTAATAATAATATACCAATAGAGATTCATTAATTGTAACAAATGTACCACACTAACATAGAGGTGGAGGAGGTATATGAGTTATATGCACTTTCTGCCCAATTTTTCTGTCAACTTGAAACTGTTTTTAAAAATAGTCTATTTTTTATTTTTTTAAAGGTTTTATTTATTTAAGAGAGAGAAAGAGCATGAGAGAGAGATCACGAGCAGGGGGGAAGGGTAGAGGGAGAAGCAGACTCCTCGGTGAGCAGTGAGCCGGATGTGAAACTCTATCCCAGGACCCTGGGCCAAAGGCAGACGCCTAACTGACTGAACCACCCAGGTGCCCACAAAGTTTATTTTTTAAAAAACAATCCCAAAAGATTACCTCCTATATAATTCAATTTACATAACATTCTTGAAATGACATAAAGAAACAGAAACTGTATTAGTGACCCAAGAGTCAAGAGGGAGTGTGGGTGGCAGAGAAATGTCTGTGCTATAAAAAGGAAACATGAGGGATCCTTGCCATGATGGAAGTATTCTATATTGATTATATCAATGTCAACATCCAGGTGGTGATATTGTACTAAGTTTTGCAATATGTACCTTTTGGGGAAACTGAGTAAATGCTACATGGTATCTGTAATATTTTTTTACAACTGCATGCGAATCTACAGTTATCTCAAAATAAAGTTCACTTAACAATTTTGGTAGGATGCTGTTGAAGTCATGCTGAGAGGGAAAACTAGCACTAAATGTTCATAACAGAAAAGGAGAAAGTTCTCAAATCATTACTACAAACTTCCACATGAAGATATAGAAAAAGAAGAGCAAAATAAGTTCAATGCAAGAAGGAGGAAAGATCAGAAAAGAACTCAGGGCTCCCGGGTGGCACAGTCAGTTAAGCATCTGACTCGTGGTTTTGGCTTGGGTTGTGATCTCAGAGTCATGAGATCCAGCCCCGAGTTGTGCTCCATGCTCAGCATGGAGTCTGCTTGAGTTTCTCTCTCCTTCTCCCTCTGCCCCTCCCACTTTTGCTCTCTCTTTAAAATCAATCAAAAAAAAAAAAAAAAGAAGAGAACTCAGTGAGATTAAAAACAGAAAAACAACAGAAAAACCATAGCAACAGAATGTCTTTTAGAAAAATCAATGCTATTGAGAAGCTCTATCAAGACTGATAATAAAAGAGAGAAATTACCAATCTCAGAAATAAAACGGGATATAACAGACCATCAAAATGATAATAAGGGAACACTGCAAGCAACCACAAACTAGAAGAATTCATCTGGGATAAATTAGAAAAATGGAATATTCTTATAACTTTTAAAGAAATGGAAATAGTAACCAAAAACTTTCACTCAAATAAAAATCTGTAGACCCAGATGGTTTCACTAAAGAACTCTACCAAATGTTTAAAGAAGAAATAGCTCTGATTTTACACAATCTCTTCCAGAAAATGAAAGAACACACTTCCCAACTGAAGTTGATTCTAAAATTAGCCCAATACTAAAATCATATAACATAAAAACAGTACAAAATAAAACTACAGACCAAAATCCCTTATGAACATAGAAAAGAAACAATAATAGCAAATCAAATCCAATAATGTATAAAGATCAAGGAATGCGAGACAGTTTCAATATTCAAAATCAGTCAAGGTAATCTACCATATTAACAGTATAAAGAAGAAAATTGTGATCATAGTAATGAATGCAGAGGAAATGTTTGACAAAATTCATTATCCTTTCCTGATTAAAAACTCTCAGCAGAGTAGGAATAGAAGAGAACTTCCTGAGTCTGATAAAGGACATCTACAAATACCCTACAGATAGCATACTAATGAAGAGAGAGTCAGTGCTTCCCCCTAAGATCAGGAACAAGGCAAAGATATTCATTATCACCATTACATTCAACTTCTGAAGTCATTCATAGCACGATAAAGCAAGAAAAAGAAATAAAAGGCATATGGATTTGAAAATAGGAAATAAAACTTCTATTTGAAGATGTTGGGATTGTCCATGTGGAAAATCAGAAGGACTCTACAAAAAAACAAAACAAAACAAAAACAAAACTCCTAAAACTTAATAACTGAAATGTAAAGGAACTATAATATCAAACAATTTTGGGAAAAGAAAGAATAAAGTGGGAGGAATCACTCTCTCCAGTTTTAAGACTTATTTTATAATATGGTAATCAAGACTGTGTAGTAATAGGAAAGAGATAGATAAATAGATCAATGGACCAAAACAGGGAACCCACAAATAGTCCTACACAGGTAAGGCCAGCTAGTTTTTGACACTGATGAAAAAGAAATTTAAGGGAGGAAGAATAATCTTTTCAACAAATGATGCTAGACCAATAGGCAAAAGTAGGAAACTCAACCTAAGCCCTACACCTTTCACAAAAATTTGCTCAAAACTGATGGTAGATTTAAATGTAAAATGTAAAACCGTAAACCTTTTAGAAAGAGAAAAATCTTTGGGATCTAGAGCTACGCAAAAAGTTCTTAAACATACTAAACCATCCAGGAGAGAAAAAAAAATTGGTAAATTTCATCAAAAGTAAAAATGTTTTGTGAAAGTCCTGTAAAGAAGATTAAAACGACAAGCTAAGAAAATATTTGCAAACTATAAATATGACAAAAACTTATATTTATAATATATAGACTTTTCCAAACTCAATAGTAAAAAAACCCCAAACTATCCCATTAAAAAACGGGCAAAAGTCACAAAGAGACATTTCACAGAAATTGATAAACATTAACATGAATAACCATTAGGGAAATGCAAATTAAGACTATGATGAGATATCAATATATACCTATCAGGCAACTAAAATAAAAAATAGTGACAACATTGAATGCTGGCATAAATGTAGAGAAATTCCATGTCTCATACATCGCTGGTGAGAAAACAAAATGATATGGTCACTTCGGAAAATTTCTTGGCAGTTTCTTAAAATGCAAAACGTATGTTTACCATATGATCCCGTGTTCCTAGTACTCAGCATTCATCCCAGTGAAATGAAAACTGACATTTACACAAAGACCTCTATGTTCACTGCAGGGTTTGGGTTATTTATTTTTGTTTTGTTTATTCTGTAACAGTCAAAACTTGGGAAAAACTAGAATGTCCTTTATTTATTTATTTATTTATTTATTTATTTATTTATTTATTTATTAATAATTTTTTATTATGTTAATCACCATACATTACATCATTAGTTTTTGATGCAGTGTTCCATGATTCATTGTTTGTGCATAACACCCAGTGCTCCACACAGAATGTGCCCTCTTTAATACCCATCACCAGGCTAACCCATCCCCCCACCCCCCTCCCCTCTAGAACCCTCAGTTTGTTTTTCAGAGTCCATCGTCTCTAATGGTTCGTCTCCCCCTCCGACTTACTCCCCTTCATTCTTCCCCTCCTGCTATCTTCTTCTTCTTCTTCTTTTTTTTTCTTAACATATATTGCATTATTTGTTTCAGAAGTACAGATCCGTGATTCATCAGTCTTGTACAATTCACAGTGCTCACCATAGCACATACCCTCCCCGATGTCTATCACCCAGCCACCCAATCCCTCCCACCCCCCACCACTCCAGCAACCCTCAGTTTGTTTCCTGAGATTAAGAATTCCTCATATCAGTGAGGTCATATGATACATGTCTTTCTCTGACTGACTTATTTCACTCAGCATAACACCCTCCAGTTCCATCCACGTCGTTGCAAATGGCAAGATCTCATTCCTTTTGATGGCTGCATAATATTCCATTGTGTATATATACCACATCTTCTTTATCCATTCATCTGTCGATGGACATCTTGGCTCTTTCCACGGTTTGGCTATTGTGGACATTGCTGCTATAAACATCGGGGTGCACGTACCCCTTCAGATCCCTACATTTGTATCTTTGGGATAAATACCCAGTAGTGCAATTGCTGGATCGTATGGTAGCTCCATTTTCAACTGTTTGAGGAACCTCCATACTGTTTTCCAGAGGGGTTGCACCAGCTTGCATTCCCACCAAGAGTGTAGGAGGGTTCCCCTTTCTCCGCATCCCCGCCAACATCTGTCCTTTCCTGACTTGTTCATTTTAGCCATAGAACGTCCTTTAAAAGGTGAATGTTAAACCGGCTATTTATCCCTACCATGTAATACTACCAAGCAATAAAAATAAAAGATACCAATACATGCAACAACCTGGATGCAACTCTGCGGAATTTAAATTTCATGAAATTATAGATTTCACTTATAGGACATTTCAAAATAAAATTATCGAGTGTTTATTAGTGCTCACTTGCACCTGTTGTCCTTGATGGTCATCACACGGGAAACACCCATTTGATGAAAGAACTTCAAAGTCTGAAGCAAGCCTTTGCTTCCGGTGAGACTGCCCAACACGACCCCGGGGTAGCAGAAGAAGCATGCCTCCCGCAACCGCCCGGGTTCCCCAGGAGAACCGACGCCCACTACCATCGCTGAACTTTAGGGCAAAGTTGCTTTAGGATCTCGCCCAACAGATAAAATTCCTGTTTGCGGTCCTCGCATTTCTCATTGCCTTCCCTAGAGACTCGGGAAAACCCCTTAGACAATCAAGAGCAACACAAGCTGCCCTCTAGGACTGACGCCTTTCAGGGACTTGGTGGAAGGGGTTCGTTTATAGTCCGTGTATTCAAATGAGGTTTGAAATAACCAGGTCTGATTGGACGAACGATAATAAGAGAATATACGTAAAAACAGGACGGCCCGTTCGACTCTCTGGTTGGACAGATGCCTAGGCGACCTCAGCCAATCAGAACATCCCCCAGTGAAGTTGCCGGAGGACCCTTCCCTTTAGTTGTGCCTTAAGTGCTCTTATTTCTGTTCCCTCTGTTTTTGAAAGTGGGAAGCAAGCGAGCAAGGCTGACAGCGAGGTGCGCTGTGTTTCCTCCGGGGCGGGCGAGCGGCGGCCCCGCCGGGATGACGGTGGATTCAGGAGCTGACCAACAGCCCGGCCGCGGCGAGGCCGGCGCTGTGCAGGGCCGGCGGTCTGTCCGTCACCCAAGAACACCAGGGGCCGCCACAGAGGCACGTGCGAGTCAAGTCTCCAGTTAGTAAAGGCCAGCGAGTAATACCGACTTCTGGGAAAAGAACACAACAGCAAACCAAACATCAAAGGCTCTTTTTCAAAGCCGTGCACCCCATTTCAAAGATGGAGCCGGGGCCAGATTACCAAGAACAATATACATTTCCATAAACCAACCCATTTAATTATGTTTGCTTGATAACTTTCCTGCAAATCACTCTGTGAGAACGGGTTTTACTAGAAACGTCGATTGTCATTAGATTTTAATCCTGTTCCAACCTTTCTCATTTTAAAAAAATGCTCTAGGTGCCCACTAAATTGATTTCAAGGCGGGGTAGAACACTGACTTGAAAAATGCTGGGACAATCGGTGCCAGAACAGAAGTGCCCATCTCCCAGCCTTACAGCCAGTAGAACTACTCTCCTGGGCCGCAGCTATCCCCCCCCACCCCGCCCCCCGCAAGGGTTTGAACGCAGCCTGAGCGGAGCCAATGAAAGAACTTTCCGAGATTTTCAGCTCTGCCCCTTAAACACACTTTTTCTTTCTTTTAGGAGAAAGACTGTGAATAAGACTCTGGAGCTGCTGAGGAAGGGTCTCCTGGCTCTTTGAAAAGACTGAGAAGAGAAGTGAAATGGAAAGGAACAAGAAAACTGGGTTTGGGACGTTTGGGGTGGGGAAGAGAGAGAGCGCATTTACACCCAATCTTGGCCACCGTCCTTGTTCCAAAGGCCCTTAAATGTTGAGCTGCCCCAGTCTACTTACCACTAAATCTTCCCTCCACTTTTGGCCCTTTAAAACATACTCTTTCAGTTTGACTTCTGTCACTTGCAAGAGACCATGTCTGACAAATCAAAGCCAAAACTAACTCTGCCGGTGGAAAGTTCCACCCCCCATGTGCTAGCGTAACAGAAAATTAATGCATCTCCCCTTAATTCTGCCCCTCCTCTTTTGTAACAATACTGATGTCTTTGCTCTTAATCCTTATGTTTCATTCAAAGAGAGGTGAAAATCAGAGCGGGAGAGAGAGGAATCTGAGGCATTGAACCTGAATCATTCAAAAGCTTTAAGGTAAATGGTTGAAGCAGAAAGCACTCATGCAGAGTCTGAAGCTATGCCTGGCATTCCTAAAGAAAACACTGGGTGTTAAGAAAAAAGAAACTACTCTTGCTTTGGTCTCCAAGCTAAGATTAGAATGCTGAGGTGGTTGAACTAAGAGGAAGGAAAATACAGAAAATTTAAGGGAAACTTTTCTTTTCTAATAGGTGGCATTATGGCTTAAAAAACCCATGAATGTACCTTAATTAGAAAAATACTTTATTTCTAAAAAATGCTAACAATTATCTGAGCATCTAGCGAGTTGTAATCACTGATCACAGATCACCATAATGAATATAATGATAAAGAAAATGTTTGAAATATTGCAAAAATTACCAAAATGGAGACACAAAGTGAGCAAATGCTATTAGAAAAATGGCACCAATAGATGCCAGAACCTTCAATTTGTAAAAAAAAAAAAAACCCCACAGTATCTATGAAGTGTAATAAAGTGAAGCACAATAAAATGATGTATGTCTGCATGCAAAATCTATATTGAAAAAAAAAAAACTTTAAACACCCCCCAAAGACTCAAATGTAGACTTGAATAAGTAAGACAGGGTTCCATACTTGTGGACAGAATGATGCAACATCCTAAAGATGCCCAATTCAGCTTATTCTTATTTAACTAGATGAAAAGAAAGTTCATGGGCGGGGGGGGAACAAACAAAGCAAATGGCCCTTAAATAGAAAAAAAGTTCATTTATAATCAAAGTAAAGGGCAAATTAAAACTATATAGAGAACATCCATTTCTTCCTATCAGAAGGTCAAAAATCACACAACCCACCCAAGTTGACAATGTTGAGGAGAAATGGGCATGCTTACACATTGCTGACGGGAGTGTAAAACAATGTAATACATATAGTATTTAGGACATTTAGTAAACTTTAACAACATACGCCTTAACCTTGGACCCAGGAATTCCACTTCTAAGAATCTGCCCTGAAAATACAATTCCACACACCTGAAGTAACAAAGATGTACAAAGTTGCTCATGTAGCATTATTATAAATAAAATATTGAAAATAGTGTTAATGTCCATCATAGGGGAAAGGATGAATAATCTCCAGGACAAGATTCACACTAGAGCACCCGGGAAGCCATAAAAAATGAATGAGAATCATCTTGAAACTGGGGATGCAAGCCCCAAAAGACCCCACAATTTAGATGTATGGCTCCTAGCTGCCTCGGACCAGAGTCACGTAGACCTGTAAAACCCGTAAAATTGCCTCAGGAAAAACATAAAGTTGCCTCCCCCAAAAGTCTGTGGGATGCTGTTCTGCCTGAGATAACAAACATCATGTGCCATATTTGCAAGAAAAAAATAAGAATAGTTTGCTGCTTAATAAGTCACAGGATATAGAACTTCAGCCCTTGACCTCTAGCTATGACATCACCACAGCAATCTGCCAAGAATGTTCCCCAGATCCAGTCCCTAAAGCGCAAGGACCAGGCCCCTGAAGCAGGACGACCACCTCCCTACAATCACACCAAAACCAGAAAGGAAGACGCCACAAGGGACAAAATGATCAAGAAAGGAAATATTTCAGCTGGCCTAATCCCTAATGAATCAAGACATTGATCCAAGACCCTGACACCCTTACCCTGAATTTTCACCCTTTAAAACCCCTGCTTATAAGCCATGGGGCAGTTCAGGGCTTTTGAGCATTAATTCCCTGTTCTCCAGGGTGGGCATCACACCAATCAAAAAATACCTTCCTTCACTGCAAAAGCTTCATGTCAGTTTTTATTGGCTTGCTGGGCATCAGGTGGATGAACTCTCACCTGGTTGGGATCCCGTCTTCTTGTGCTGGTAGAGAAAGAGCTCCATGATACATTGTGAAGTGAATAAACAAGGGAAAAAAAACTGTGTATCAAGGGTTACTTTTGTGTAAAAAAGAGGGAAATGTGAGCCATGTTAATGTTTCACAGGTTCAAGAAATAAAATTAAATCGAAAGGAAAATAAGCATATTCTGAAATGGAAAACTGAAACCAAATAAGACTAATTATATATTGTGTAGGTAACACAGTCACACAGAGAATAGATTATTTCTAATGACTTTTGCATACAGTTCTCTGATGATACATTCTTGGTCAGATGTCTCCTATTTCTGCCGGAAACTTAAAAAAAAAAAAAAAAATCCCGGTTTCTGTAAACCGATAGAAAAATACAGTAACTTCTATCTAGAACATCTTGAAGAAAGTGTGGATTAAACTTAAAAGTGGGATGTAGGGGCCTGGGTGGCTCAGTTGGTTAAGCATCTGCCTTCAGCTCAGGTCATGACCTTGGGGTTCTGGGATAGGGCCTCGCATCAGGCTCCCTGATCAGTGGGGAGTCTGCTTCTCCCTCTCCCTCTGCCTCTCCCCATGGCTTGTGCTGTCTCTCGCTTGCTCACCCTTTCTCTCAAATAAATAAATAAAACCTTAAAAAAAAGTGGGATGTATCTGTAGCTATTACACTGTAAATAGCCCAAAATATTTTTAAAATATTCCTCCAGTATTCAAAAACTATCTGATTCAGCAAGGTAGTTGCTCATGTTACTGACATCTGAGTAATATTCTGACATAAATTTTTCTGATTTGGTGAAATTTTAAAAAAAGAAATAATAGAAAATAACCAACATTTATGCCAGCACTAAACTCATTGGTCAGTGGTGTGAATGACTTCTGTGATGAAATGGATGGTAGTCAAAAGCAGTTATTTGTAGTTTGATTTGTAAAAATGGATAGTAGACTTTGCAAGAAATAGCAATTCATTTGAAGTTATATGTCTAACCTGAAAATCAAGGAAGCATTTTAGCTTAAAATTTATTTCTAGAACTATATAAAGAAATATTTAATGGAAATTTTTGCATCAACCTTCAAGCAGTATCATGAATTTTATTTATATGTGTGTGTGTGTGTGTGCATGCTTATTTTTCTCTTAGATCCAGTCATTAAACATTTACCAGCACAACCCTGTCTAAACTCTGAAACTGAGTAAATAAAACCTCATTTAAAAATGGAGGCAGGAGGCAAGAAGGGCGAACTCTGATGTTTTATCTCTTCTGCTCCATTGCATTCTCAACACGAAGAAGCATACTTAACTACTCCGGCAGAAGACTTTCTCCTTGCCCAGCAACAAGCTCACCAATAAGAAAATACTACAACTCAGCCAATGAGAAACTGTCACCACCCTGAACTCTCACTTTCCTCCAATGGGCTTTCCTTTGAAGCAGCCCCTTCCACCCTCCACCTTTTCTCTCCCCAGTAAGGTTCCTCTCCTCTGATCTCTGGACTTGCCCATGGTTTACCACAGCCTGTGTGTCCCAAATTGCAATTCCTCTGCTATTCCCAAATAAACCCATTTTTCTGGTAAAATAACTGGCTGTTTTACTTCTAAGGTTGACAAAACCATACATTTGAGAGCGGCCCCTAAGTGAAACACACAATGAGAGAACAAGGACAGGCAAAAGTATACTTTTAACACTCACTTGTTCTTTGGCTTCAAACCCCAACATGTTTCCTGAGAGGAGGGAGGCCAGATCATGAGAAGAACTCCTTTTCCCTGCACTAGAGAAAAGAGAGAGGAAATAAAATCTGCTCATTATTCCTGTTATAGACTTTCCTAAGTTGAAGACTTTTTCCCAGGCTCCAAATCCTTGTATCTCAGACCTATGGAGTAACAATGATTTAAGTAGCAAAAACAGATGATATGGCCCCTTTCCAGAAAGGACTGACTCAGGGCTCACAATACTCTGGTCTTGTGGCTGAAAAATCTTAAAGACCAAAGTGCATGGGCACCATGGGGGCATTTACTGGTTTTTCTCCTTAGAGCTCCTTTTATTTGAGAAACTGTCTCTCCCATACCTATTCCAGTTAACAAATCCTCAGAGGCTTTCTAGAAACAGTGCCTTTGCACAAGACTGC